AATGAAATGTAACCACCTGAATGAGATCAAGGCTGTAAACCCTATAAAAGAAGGAGTTGTAACCCAGTGTGTGGTCAGTCCCAGGCACTGCCTTTAGGTGCAATTGACCTTGGTTGACAAAATAAACTTTTTTCTTATTTTACTTCCATTCTGAACCTCTCTGTGTGTCACTTAACAATTCCTCCTGTAACAAGAGTAAAAGTAAATGAAATACAGATAAGAAATACAATAGAAAATATAAGCAAAACTTAAGTTGGATTTTTTAAAAGGTAAAGATCAAATTGACAAACAGCTAGACTAAAAAAAATGCAAGTTAAAAGATAATTTCAGTTGATAACAGAAATGCAATGTATCAGAAGAGACTCTCATGAACAGTTATAAGCCACGTATTTTTTATTTTATTTATTTATTTATTTTTATACTGAAGATCAAAGTTGGGTCTTTGAACTTGTAAGACAGGCAGCAGAACCACTGAGCTAAATCCCCAGTAGAAGCCACATAATTTAATAGCTTAGAAGTTGATAATTTCCTTGGCACATGCAACCTACTAGGATTGAATTGTGAAGAAATAGAAAAATCTGACCAATAATATGTAAGGAGATTGATTCAGTAATTTAAAAAGTCTCCACCAAAGAAAAGCTCAGAACCTAAGGGTTGGTTACACAATTGAACTTTGTCAGGCATTTATAGCACAGCATTATCCTGACACCAAAGTCAGACAAGGGCATTACAAAAAACAGGAAAATACAGCCCATTATACTCAGTAAGATACTATCTGGCTATAAAAAGAACAAAATGTAATAATTTGCAGCAACATGGATGAGCCTGGAGGCACATTACGAGAAAAAAGACAGGTGCGAAAATAATTCCTTATATTGAAATCTAAAAACTTTGGTTTTGTACAAGTAGAGTGGCATATTATTTATTAAATGTTGGGGTTGTTGAGATTGGAGGATTGAGCAGATATCAGGTAAGGAATAAAAAAATCTCTGTTAGGAGGAATAATTTTTAGAGATTTATTGTACAACTTTGTGACAACAGTTAACATATATTGTGGTGTAGAAAAATACCAGGAGTGGATATAAAGTGTTTGTGTCATTAAATTGGCAACTCTGTTAGTATTTTAATTGGTTGGATTCAGTCATTCCACAGTCTATATATACTTGAACATATACATAATAAATGCATATCATTTATTAATTTAAGAAATAAAACTCCTAAGAAAATATCCACAACATTGGCTTTAGAATTAATATTTGAATACAACATGAAAGGCACAGGCAATTAAAAAAATAGAAAAGTTGGACTTTATAAATATTTACAGTTAATTTTCTGTAGGTCAAAGACAAAATCTATAAAAAGGCATCCCACGAGAGAGTTTGCCAACAATATTTGCCAATTATATGTGTAATAAGGCTTCAATATTCAGAATATATAAATAACTGTTAAAATTAAAAAAAAAAGTAACCCAAATATATACTCAAACTAGTGGCCAAGTTTGTAAACTATACTTCAGTATGATTGATTTAAAATAGAAAAACAATTAGTTTTTGAGTATGGACATACTCATTTTCTTCATTCATGAAAATGGTAAATTAGAACAGAACACACAATTTTGTGGTAAGAAATCTTTGGATACATGTAAATAGATTTCAGAAGAGTAACAGAAAAAGATTAAGAGTTGCAGGATGCAGAAAATATTTAGAAAAAAATAAGCACTTACTAGAGAAATGTGGCAGTGAAACAAAAGAGGATAGTTGGAAAAGATTCAAGTGATTTTGAAGAATTTGTTAGTGGGAGACACTAAAAAATACAAAAATAACCATTGGAGATTTTTAAAAATGAAGATGCTTGATGGAGATAAGATAAAGAAAAAAAGCATTTTGAGTCAACAAGGGCTCATGCTAAATAAAGAAATTCACTTTAGAAGGGAGCAGAAACATTTCTAATTTCAGAAATAATATATAGGCTAGGAATAGATATGGGTTAAGGAAACTTTAAATGGAATTTTATGTGTCATTTTCTCAGTTTACCTTTGAGGTTATAATTCTTTATTATTTAATTCTGTGTCCAAAAGAATATCTACTAAGAGCTTATCAAAACTATTTTTCCTTACATTAAATAGAAATTCAGTAATCTCCAAAACAACAAAAATGTTTACTAAATTTGATGTTGAGAAAATTTTTTCCATCATAGGAAAGTTCTAACATGAAAACAATACTTTTTTTATCAGACCTAAAATCTTTCAAACTGTACAGTCTAATTATGGAAGTTTTCATCCAATGATAGTGGTTAAAACAAAGACTTATGATTTGTCAAAGAGAATGGTTTTAACCAGTGCCCTCCAATACAATTTTGTTATCAGGTAAAATATTTATGACCTATTATGACTAAAATATTTCTGTTCCTTTACTAACTGGGATGACCCTAGGTCCCAAAAATATAATATGAAATCAGGTATTGATGACAAGAGAGTGAAACCATGTGCACTAAAGAATTTACACTAGAAGTGCATATATTCCAAAATAACATCATCTTATATCCCAGGAGGAAACACAAAAATAAAGCATACAAGAATGCATCTTCACAATGATTGGAAATATAAGTAATAAAATAAAAATTCAGAGTAGACCAGAGGAATTGCCACTTAAAAGGATCTGCAGTATCTGCTGTATGATTAACTGAATATGAATAATTTGCCATTGGTGGAAGATGAATTTATCCTATAATAAGAGATGGATCATCTATTTTGATATGGTATGTAGGTCCTTTATCATGTATTCAGTAACTATTTTAAATGGAAATTACTTTCTCTTGTTTTGATACAGGTATTCTTATAATGTTTCAACAAACCAGCACTATTCCAACAGATGGGCATATTTACAATCATGCTCAGGCAACTGGTATAAATTTCCATTGGTTTGGCACATCAGGCTATTTGAGAGCTTTTAAATTTTAACATAGGTAATAATAACCTGAAGAAAAATCTATGTATTGCGTGAAACATACGACATTGAATAATGAGTCTGTGTTTGGAAGGTACACATGTAATTTATATTAAGGTAATAGTAGTTCTATACATTATTTTTTAAATGCATGTAATTATATAAATTGCATTTAATTACATATAATGTCTATGCACATGGTAAACTAATTGGAATTTTTCACAAAACTAAACTTGAAATCAGTCTACCCAAGGAGATATTATACATATGCTAGATAAATACATAAATAACTGGAAAGTGAAAACTATACTGGAAAATTTAAAAGGGAACATGCATTGTTGAGCAGTTTTGTCATAGTACAGTGATTAAATTTTCCGGCTACTCTATAGGAGTTATAGTCAAAAAAATAGTGTGTTCAAAAATTTTTTTTAATTTACTACAGTAAAGGATATATTACCATTGATACCCAAGTACTACCTTTTGCTTCAAACATACCCTATCTTGCCACTTTCTGAGGCAGTTCTTGGAAGTTCTGTTTTTGTCAGTGTCTTTAGTTGCACTGTCGTGGCTGCCTCAGTGTCTTGAATCAATTCCAAATGTCTACCTTTCATGCTAATTTTTGATTTGAGGGAGAGCAAGAAGTTGAAGTAGCATGGTACAAGATCCAGGGATTAAGAGGGATGAGATCACACTTCACTGTTTTACAAGGCTGCCTTTTCATTTTATGCCACTTGACAGCATTTACCATATTTTTATCACAGTTTATAAAGACATTCAGGAAAGAAGATGTCAAGAATAGTTTCACAGTGTGGCTATGATAATGGGATAAGTGTGTTCAAAGTTGAAGTATTTTGGGGGATTACTGACAGTGTGTCTTTTATTAAAATTTTTAACATCCCCCATATGTTTGATCACACCTTGTATATTACATGTTCCAAGAAAATTTCAGAATAATGTTTACTTTTATTTCTGTCTTAAAAGTGTAATACAAATCTTACATTCAGATCATCACACTAGAACCTCATCTTCTTTGGCCCATGGTGACAGAATTTATCAGGAGGATGAGAGCTATTAATATGTAAAATACAAGCATTTATAGAAAATAATCCTAGATAAAAATAATTGACTACTGTAAATTATGAAATACCATCATTTGGAAATCTGATTAAAACAACAAGAATAGCAACTTTGCTACATACAAATATCTTTGTGTTCCAATAGTTAGATGAGTAATTTATTCAGGCAATGAAACACAAGCCAGTGCATGGGTCACTCTTGCATTCTTCTCAGTTAAATAATAGAAACAACAGATATACAGCCTTAAGTGCATTTTGGTATTATTTGTAAGTATAGAAGAAACAAAAGCATTCTGCTATGGTGATTTATGTTAACATACTATAACTGCATAATTCTATAAAATTAAAATTTCAAATCATTGAAGAATGTAAAAATAATTTCAAATAAGTATCAACATAATTGAATTACTTTTTAATAATCTTGAGATACCTTCCATTTACCTACATATCATTGGCTACTTTTAATCCTTATATCATAAACTTCTGTGAAGATTGATCTATTATCCCAGAGTAAGTTTCTCTTGGCAGCATAATATTATAGTTTGTTGCAGCACGATGTACTTTTTCTGCCGAACATGCATCAAAGCTGTAATGGTAGCTAGTATTCAAGTAGTTGATGAAGTCTCTGTATTCTGTCAGACTTTAAGCTCTAAGAGGGTTCTAGGAATTAACACAGGACCTAGCACATAATATACCCAGGAAAATATTTGTTAATAGATGAGAGGGTAGTACAACAATTGAAGTTGTTTTCTGTAGTCAATTTCAGTACTTGTTAATTATTTCAGTGATAGCAGAAAATGTATAATTTCTTTTAAAATACCAAGAAAAAAATATTTTTGATTAACTCCTTCCAAAACTGAATATATTATTGACTGATAGTGGCAGTAATAATTTTATATCTTCCATTTTATAATATATTTCAATACAAGAATTCAAGTTTTACTTATATATTACAAAACTGATATTTGCTGATACTTACCCTAGTATTACTTTATCTCCAACCAGATTGTTGTTTTACCCAATGGGAGACAACATATTAATCAGCTTTACACCTGGAAGAGAAACCAAGTATAGTAAGACATTTAGGTAGCACAGCCAGAAAAGCTCTTCTTGGTTCATACTTATTACTGAAAACTATGTAGGTAGCATATGAAAACGGGGATGCAAAGGAATGGGAAGTGTGACAAATGCATGTATTCTAGACAAAACAAAACAAAAAAACTAGATCCTAGTTATTCTTGAAAGAATTTTGACTTGGGGACAAAATTAAATCATGAATAAAATGCAGTCTGTCTGTTATATCCTGCAAAGGTTAAATAGGAAGAGTGCTTTGGCATGGAAAGAACAACTAAAATTTCAAACAAATGTGATGTTAAATAAAGGTTTAACTATGAACAAAGAAAGGAAAAGTACAGTCGAAAGACAATTCTACTTAAAGTATATGAAAGTGAAAAGAATATCAGTATTACTAGTAGGATCTAAATTGAATTTTATACACCAATACAAAGGGGGTGAAGGGAGGGCAGTGGTAAGGGGAAAAAATGAGAATCAAGACTTGTCATGTAGAGGTACAAGATCCCAACAATGAATGTAACTGTACTGTATCCCTAAAATGTACCAATAAACTCAAAACTGAAAAAAAAATTTAAGGATATATACAAATACACTTTAATGAATGTAAGTACTGTATCCCTAAAATGTACCAATAAACTCAAAACTGAAAAAAAAATTTAAGGATATATACAAATACACTTTTTCCTGACCCTTAATCTGTGCTCTCCAGAACTGTTGTAACTTTCTCTGTAGTTTCAGAAGACTGTGAGGTCAGTCCCAGTGTACATCAACTGTGGCCATCACTCTTATCTGTCTTTCTTTGGCATGAAAACACAATTTTCCTTAATCAGATGAGTTGTCATAATTTAGGTGGACTCCAGATCACAAGAGAAATAAACCACCAAGGACTAAATTTTGCTAAATAAGCCAGAAGAAATGAATGGACATTTCCTTACTTGCACCTGGAGTGTTATCTACTTCCCCTGTCTGCCCTTTATTTCAGTATTGTACATCACGCCCATGTCACCCATTCGACTTAAAAAATCACTCACATTGACTTTTAAAAGACAATTTTAATACATAATGAAATACTTTCTAATTCTTAAAAACTATTTGGAATTTGTTTTGTTATAGTGTGTGTATGTGTACAGTTTGAATTTAAGGCATTTTCATAAGAAACTCAACTTCAAAAGTAAAGACCACTGATAGTTATGGAAAGGCCTGGTACAGTTAAATTCAGTACACCACATTGTAGACCATTTAGTAATGTCTTTATAAAAATTTTAGATTATGAAATATGTTGAGAAATATAAGTGAAAAATATGAAATGTTACACTAATATTGGATAAATTATTATTTCTGTGTTTTGAAGTGTCTTCATAATACTCTAAGATATTTTTGTGTGTCAACTGTTGTCTGGCATTCAAACCTCAATGCAAAGATAGATTAAATCAATAGATAAGATAGATGGATGCAAGAACATTCCTCTGTAACTTTCTGTTTTAACATTTCTCGGGGCAGAATTTTATTGCCTTACAGCTCTTATGATTAGAGTTGGCTTTCTAAATTTAAAAAAATCTTCTATGCCTTCTACCTTCTCAAATTTAGGTTAGTCTTTCTTCTTTCTGCAGTAACTCCTCAGAAAACTTCATTTATGCAGAATGAGCTTCTTTGGTTTCTGATATTTGCTGGGCTTATATCACCCTCTATAGATAAATTTTCCTCTAGATTAATTCTATTTCATGTATGTCCCTCTGAAATTGTTGTGTTATACAAACATAATTTTTCATACTAACAGGATAACACAAATCAAGACTGTGGGTGTTTTTTAGTGAAGTGGGGCTATAGTGAAGTGTTAGTCATTTAAAATCATATTCCTATTTCAACTCTTGCAGCCAATATGTATTTGAAGCTGTGACTTCTGTGGACTTTTCCAAGGAAACTAATCTTTTTTTCCATTGTATATGCTCTTTTCTTGTGTAGCTCGACTCTCACTGTTTATATAGACATTTTCCTTTTATTTATATTGTATGCTTTTAATCTATGTTTCTTAGTATACAACTAACGTAATTCATTGAAAAATAAATATAAACTCTAATGTGAGAGATGGTTTTTGTAAAAGCTGCAATTTAAATTTGTGATACCAATTTTACCTTGTATAGGATTATTTTCTCTTTCTCTTCCATATTGAAATGTGACCTGTCATGCAAGAAGTGTCTATTAAAATATCTAAACTCTTGTTCTCTGTGTACTTTTTATAGTTGTTCTGCTTACACTAAATCCAAATGAAAATACTTTTGTCATTAATCATATTGTTTTAACTTTCAAAATACTTAAAAAGACTATAGAGGTAAACAGAACAATGAAATATCCAGTGGAGACTATTACATGAATTTTGTTTCTCAATTTATATTTTTTTGTTGTTGTTATAGAGAGGATTCTGGGGTCTAGATATACTCTGAGGAGAACAAGATGTTTCTATCAATGTAAACATCCTTCCCACTTTCCCTACACCTTTAGCCCCTTTCTTCCTATTTCACATTGTCCATTATCTCATTAGGATCTTATATACTATTACAGTTTATTCACACCAGAGAAACTATTAGGGAAAGTGGGAAGGGTAGAGAAAAGGTAATATGGGAAAAGAAAAAAAAATAGGATAAAATTTAAAAAATGGAAATAAAGTATTTGTAAATGGGGAGGGAAGGAAGGGGTGAAGGGAGGGCAGGGACAAGGGGAAAAAATGAGAACCAAGACCTGCCATGTAAAGGTACAAGATCCCAATGATGAATGTAACTATACTGTGTACCTAAAATGTACCAGTGAACTCAATGAGGAAAAAAATAAATAAACATCCTATTTTATAAATTGAATAATATAATTTTTGATTGCTAATCTCACAATGATTCCAGTCAGTTTTTCACTAGAAAATAATAACTATACATTCCTTACAGTTAAATATTTTAAGTTGGTTCTTTTTAATTTCACCATTTTCTTGTAATTGGGATAAGAATCACTTTAGTGCCAACATTCATCTTATTTAGAGGCTCTGTGTTTGAATGTGATTCTGAAATAATCTTTGGTCTCCTCACTTAAAACTGATATGTTTATCTGCTTGGAGCCTCCAATAGAACTGAGACTTCTCTAGCTTATGCAGCATATCTGTTTCATATTTGTTCCCTGGCATACAGGGCACATGCACAGTTATTTTTAGGACTGAATCATTGGATGCCTTTAATTCTTGGAAATAACTAGCTACTCCCTTTTTAATATTTTTATGGCAACTTTTTTGGTGCTATATATAGATTTCCTAATTTATGTGATTTCAGAATATAACTGACATTTATTAAAGATCTGTATCAATGTAAGAGAAATTAAAAGAAGTATCATTTTTATATTTTTAGATACAACTTTTTCTTTTTATTCCAAAATAACTCATATATTGCTTCTTTTTTTTTTTTTTTTTTTTTTTTTTTTTTTTTTTTTTTTTTTTGTACTGGTGATTGAACTTAGGACCTTGTGCTTACAAAGCAGGAGGCAGCACCACTGAGCTAAATCCCCATCCCAGCCTTTTTCCTTTTTACACTTTTATTTTGAGACAGGTTTTCAGTGGGTTACCCAAGTTGGCCTCAATCTTCCAGTTTTCCTTTGTGTGCCACACGTAGCTCAAATTAGAGGCATGTCCCTCTTCCTTTTTTTTTTTTTAGACAGAGTCTCACTATGTAGTTCAGACTGCTCTGGAACTCACTATGTAGCCCAGGCTGGTCTCAGACTCCTGCCTCAGCCTTCCAAGTGCTGGGATTACAGGCATGCGCCACCATGTCCGGTCCATCCCCCTTCTTTCTTGTGCATTGTTGGACTGTTTTCTGATAATACAGCATGTAATTTCATTTTGAATTGTAGCTGAGTGTGGTTTACATTTTCAGATTATGCAAAATAATTTTGTTAATTCAGTGATCTGTACTTTTTGTTTACATTATTTATAACATGATATTCAAATATATCACTTCTTGCGTTCAATTTTATGTTTATAATTCTGTGACTCTTGAAAATATTTTCAATGCTATAAAATTAAAGGAACTTCCAAGAACCTCTTTTCGTGCCTAAGAATTAAACTGGACTAGCTGATTGCCCCACTATTTGATAGTTTGCCTTAGATGGAAGATTCACTACAGAAATTCAAACGGGTCAAATTTGACAGTTTATTGCTTCAAGCATCTTATTAGGAGCTTTGTAGATATCTAGTTTGTTTTCTGGGGTACTTAAACAATTTAAGCCTGTAATCGTTGGATAATATTAATATGCTCCTGCATATTTGAAAGAAAAAACATCACATACACCAGAATACCAAAATGACAATTTCAAGGTGTGTATTACTACAAAGTAACTTTAAATTTGTTTAAATATGAGAACTTAAATTGTTAAGTATATTTATTTGTGAATTTAAATAAAATTAGAATTTAGATATTGTGGAACTTTATATAAATTGTACAGCTATACATGCTATATGTGAATGGATAATTCCATATTTTTTGTACCAGGGATCAAACTTGGGAATCTTGTAATTCCATATTTTTTAGAATATGAGTTCTTATTTTAATATGAAGGCATTACTATTACTGTTTTTATTTAAATATAACTTTATATAGCTTAATTGTAAAACTTTTAACTTGGTATACATTCACTTTGACAATATTTATTTTAAAGATGTACATTATTAAAGCCTCACTATTGATGATTATTTGGGACTAGAATCTTTTTTGTGCAATGTGAATTTTAAACCAGTCTTACCTCAGTAGTTTAGAATTTAACTGAAGCTTTTGGAATTTGAAGGAGCCCATGGAAAAGACAAGAAAGTTTGTACAGAGGAGTGATGGAGGAATAACAGTTGGTTCTATAATTAAATTTAACCCAAAGAGAGTTGCAAGGTCAAGATGATTTATGATAGTGAAATGTCTCTTATTTCTCTTGTATCATCCTTATTCATTGCTGTTGGATT